CCGAAGAAAAAGGTTTTTAAAAAAATGTGTATTTTTATTGATTTCAGAGAGGTAGGGAGAGGGAGAGAGAGATAGAAACATCAATGATGAGAGAGAATCATTGATCGGCTGCCTCCTGTGTGCCCCACACTGGGGAACGAGCCCACAACATGGGCATGTGCCCTAACCAGGAATTGAACCATGACCTTCTGATTCATAGGTCAATGCTCAACCACTGAGCCACGCCAGCCAGGCAAGAAAAAGGTATCTTGTTTGAAATTGGTATTTTGTTTGAATTGAAAAATGCTAGGTGTTGACTTCATTAAGTAAGATCAACAAAACCTTTTCCCAGCTTAAGCTCTACAATGAGTTAACCTAATTCAAAATAGAACAAAAAGCCAGTCATTGTATCGTGTACTCACTTGGGCCTTTAAGTTAGTAGCATGACCACAGTGAGTAGGAGTCTGGGGCCTGGAGTGGGATAAGTGGGTGTGAAGACTCCCTGGGCACTCACCTGGCCTTGGGGAAGCAGGCTGACCGCTCTCTACATGGACCACCGCTCCAACCTGTGCCCTCTGGGCGGTTCCGGCAGTTTACCTGGCCTCTCAGTGACTCTGGTCCTTCATCTACTAGTCGTCCCGGCCTCCACTGACCTGTGAGGCAGTGTCCTTGTGAGGACCTGGCGTCTTGCACGTGCTGAGGACTGTTAGCTGTTGTCATTACCCACAGGAACCTGAAGCAGGTAATGTCCTTTCCACCTTTGCTGCTGATGCTTTCCAAGAATTTAAATGTGTGCTGTGGAGGGAAAAGGCGGGCTATTTTCATTAATAAATTTCATACAAGTTAAATTATGCCACAAAAGGGGATTTAGTGTAGCCCTTTTAAACAGTGACATGGTACAAATAGCCATATGTTGAGGTCCTCATGTGTAGGACCTGTAATGGGTTTCAAGATGTGCTGGGTGCCCCCAGGACACCTCTAGCAGATCCAAGATTATCACTCCAATGTTCCCACAGCTTAGAGGCTAGAGATGCTGAACACCCAGGAGCTAGACTCAGGCTGCAAGGCTGTGTTTGTGTTGAAGAGGCATTAAAGGTAGTAGAAGGCTTTGTTTAGAATCCCTCACTTCCTAGCTCTGTAACATTTAGTAAGATGAATTAGTGTATTCATCTTGAAAATAGACATGATAATATCTACTTCATACAGCTGTGGTGAGGATCATGCCACCATTAACACATAGTAAGGGCTCAATAACTCTTCCCCTTCCGCAACATGTTCTCTTCCCCAAGAGTAGACCTGGCTCGCTTGGGAAACCCAGAGATAGTAAACAGATCAAAACGTAATCAGGAACAAAATGGATTTAAAGTATTAACACTATTTATTAGTCTAAACAACTCCTGTTTTCAAAGCATTTGACTTAAAACTAGCCCTTATAAATAAGTGATATCTCCTCTGGTGTCCCTACTATAAATAGGAGCTTTTAGAAAATGCGGTTCTTGCATTGGAGAATGTAAAGAAACTGAGACAGACTAGAGTTGTTGATGTCAGGACTGTACTTCCAAGCAAACCGGCTTGTTGACTGGAAGAAGACAGAAGAAAAAAATCTCACCACCTCTTGAGACGCTGGCTCCTTGACTGTCTTGCTGTTGTCTGTTAGATATTTATTTGGCAGACTGGGGAGTTAAGAGACTTTATCATTCATGCAGTGCCCAGAATCCATTCACTGAGCTGGCTGGCTTTGCCTCCTAACACCTAGACGAAAACCAGTTGCACTGAGCAAATGTGGGGTTTGATGGAGGAGGAGGAGAGAAGGTACTTGGAGCACCCAGGAGAGAAAGAGGCGGGAAGTGTGCCCCTGGTGTGGTTGTAGAGAGGGGAGTAGAGTCCATGTTGGCAAAGATTGGACCTTGGGGGTTGGGATCACGTGCCCCTAGTGTTTAGAAAGAATAATCTCTTCCTCCATCTACACTGACTTGTCCCTTGCTCCTAGAATCTGTGTTATTTGTAGAGCAGCTATTCTACCCATTTTTTCTAACTTATAACTTAAATAGATTTTCTGGACTAGCGTGGGTCCTACTGACCCTTGGAAATATTGTTGTATATGATAGAGACATTTCTAGTAACAGCCAGCTTAGAGATGTCCTTGTAAACCCAAACCTGGTCTTAAATAGTTACTTGGAGGATATAGAAAAATTCTATTAGCTTGATATGTTCAAATTCCAAATGACCAAAGCGAGTTTCCTGTGTTTACTGTGTATATATTTTTTTGTTATAATTGAATGACAAAAGTTTTAATGCATTTAAATAAAGGCCAGCAAACAGAATTCCAGTGAAATTACATTTGATTTAGAAGTAAAGTAAAAAGTATAAATCTTTATTGATTTACTTTCTTATTAGGAGATAAAGTCTTGGTATGAATAAGCGGGAAAGACCCAGGTCTAACCAGAGTCTTGTACTGAAACTCCGAAGTCAATGCCTTACCCCAAACCAAATTCAGGAAGATGAAAAGTTCAATATCTTAAAACAAAGCAAGCAAAGAAGCAAAACTGAATTAAAGATGTATTAAAATTAGGAGAGGAAGGGAAGTGAAAGTTTATAACTCTTGAAGAAATTACCTAGTAAAAAAAGTACACAGACATTATTTTATAAAGTGCAAAACACCTGTATATTTTAAAGTAATAATATATGGCAAGCAAATTAGAAAAATAATTTTAGCAAATATTTTATAGGCAAAGGGTAATTATCTTGATTATGTAAAGAATCTATACCAAATACATATATACATATATAAACTCTTAAACTAGTAGGATTTAGAAAACACTTGGAGAAAATACAATTAGGAGAAAGGATCAACATCTTTAGATATTAAGTAAATTCAAAGGAAAAACAAAAAATACATACCATTTACTCATCACATTTATAATTTTTGCTTGTTTTAACAATTTTTTATGATAATACTCTCAGCTCCTGAGGTATAGAAAATAAAGCCTTCTCGTTCAAAGGAAGTATTAAGGAAGTTTTAACACAATCATTGGATTTGGTATCATGAGACCTAAAATTGAAGTTTATTGTGACCATATCTGGAAAAATATCTCCTGCTTGCTTTCCATTTATTTAACTCTTCTGGAAAGAAGCTCAAGGAAGCACTAACAGTGGTTGTCTTTCCCCTAAGTGGAGAGGCAGGAAGTATGTGAGGTGTGAGATCTGCTCGGCCGGCGTGGCTCAGTGGTTGAGCGTCGACCTAGGAACCAAGAGGTCACAGTTCGATTCCTGGTCGGGGCACGTGCCTGGGTTTGTGGGCTTGATCCCCAGCAGGGAGTGTGCAGGAGGCAGCCAATCGATGATGTTTCTCTCTCATCAATGTTTCTCTCGCTCTATCCCTCTCCCTTCCTCTCTCTCTCTTAAGTCAATTAAAAACACACACACACACACACACACAGAAAAATCAAAAGGATGTGAGATCTGAGCCCAAACTGCCTGGGCTTCACTCCCAGCTCTGCCACTTGAGTAGCTACGTGACTTTGAGATTGAGTAGCTGTTGGGATTGGACAAGTTTTAAGTTCCCTGTGATTAGATTTCTCCATCAGTGATTTAGTGGTTAAGCGGACCTACCTCCTGGGGGTTTTGTGAGAACTACATTTTCTAACACAGGTAAAGCACAGCCCACAAGGCCGGCGTATACTAAGAGCTCAGTAAAGCATGAGCTATTTGCTATTTAAGTGGTGGAACCAAGATGGGCAGACTTTTGCTGACACTTTTCTTCATTTTCCAAATCAACGTTTCTCTCTCGAATATATTACTGATACATTAGAAAAAAAGCAATAAATGTTTTCCCGAGGACCCAGAAAACTGAGTGAAACAGATGATTTTTTTTTAGTCACATAGATACAGACTCTTAGTTGGAGTATCAGAGTATGTCATCAAAAAATAGATGCTTCGTGGCTGCTGAGACCCAAGAGTTGAAAATGGAGTTGCAGTGACACTTGAAATGAACTTTGTGCCCCATATCATAAGAAGTTAGGATGGTGTAGCTTCCTGGAAAGACTGCTTGCATCCTTTGGAAAAGTTTGTGTCTACCCCATATTCTCTCCCAATCCCTTAACCAGTAGCTTACATGAATAGCTACATCTCTATAAGACATATTTTAGTAATAGCTGGGCAAAAGAAAAAAATTTACAATAATGGAGTAATTAATTTTTTGGGGCAAAGAACGTGAATTAGGGGAAGGGAGAAGTAGTAAAATTTATTCAATACCTTTGTTAATTTCCAAATATTTCAAAAGGTAGCATGGGCAATTGGATTTACACATAAAGTTATTATTTTAAACATATGTTTTAAAGTTTCAGGAGCGGAAGGAAAATTAAGGAGAAAATTGCCGTCTCTTTTCCTTAATTTCCTCTAAGTTTAAGGGGAAAATGGTTGAGAAAAAAGTCTCCGCTCACTTTGCTGTCTTCTCTTGCCAGCAGCTAACAAGTCTGTACAATACGGTTGCCCAGGCGATGCCAAGACCGTGTAGAAAGAATGGTGTGCGGGGACAGGAATGATGCAAATGGGTTAGCAGCGTGAACGGGAGGAGGTGTTTGGTTTCTTTTGGAAAAAATAAAATTATACCACCCGCTATAGGCCGTTATGCTAGCCGTTCTAAACATCTGCTGTACGAAGGGACTTCATTATATTGCCTTGTTCGGGGATACATCATTTGTCTCCTAGCTATGCCCCCATCTTTGTACCTCTGTACTGAGCCATGTCCAAGTTGATTCCACCGCATTTAAGTCAGACAAAGAACTTTTCCATAACTTCTACCTGAAGCCCTGGATTCAGCCATCCCCTCACAGACCGACCGAAAAGCTGGGCACAGCCCTTGCTCTCAAAAGAGCACAAATATTTGTTGCTTAAATAAAGTTACTCTTGTCCCGACAGGCGTGATCACCAGACAAATCCTTATTCCGTTTTCTAGGACTGTTACTTCAGTTTAAAAAAGACTCCGTTTTTCCTCTTCTTCTCTTCTCCCCCCGCCTTAGGGACAATCCTTGGATTCACACTCCGGCCGTACAGAATGACCTACCCGGAGGTCAAGTACTTCTCCTTCCCCGGGGAGCTGCTCATGCGGATGCTGCAGATGCTGGTGCTGCCGCTGATCATCTCCAGTCTCGTCACAGGTACCGAGGCGGGGCTGTGAAAAGCTCGCTCCAGGGTTGCTTAGGAAAACACGCTCTTTGGGTTTCTGCTGGATGCATGCTCTGTTCTAGGGGGAAAACAAAACAAAACAAAAAAAGTTCCTTCAAAATGATGGAAAGGTGCTTTGGTAATGCATGACTGATAGCACCTTGTATTCTACCAATCACAAGAGGAAACACTGAAACAGGCACGTAATCTGGTCCGCCTCGCCACGAAGGAGGGGCCCTGCTAGACAAACACGGCACCAGCAGCCCCCTCTGACCACGGCAACAGGTTGACACGAGCGTACATACAACAGGTCTGTTTCCCCACCCTCTCATCCCACCCAGAGAGCATCTGGTTGGACAGCCTGTTAGCTATTGATGCAGGATGCTTGTTCTCAGAGCCACCGGGACGTGAGCGGGAGCCTTCTGGGGAGCCCCGTCAAGAGGTAATGCTCACCACGCACTCACCATCGCGGCCGCCAGCGCTGCCTTTCCCCGGTGAACCCACAGGGTTCCGCTGCCTTCTCCGGTTGTCCCCTCCCTGTCATGTCACTGTTTAGCTTGTGGGAGAAGTGGGGGGGTGGGGGGGGCGTGTGAGAGAGTGGTCCCCATCCTGGTATTTTGTCAGCTGACACTTGAATTTCCAGCGAGGGCAACTCTACAGGGTAGCATCCTCTTCCCATGACAGCGAGACAGCCATGCACTCCTGCGTGGGAATGGTTAGCCTCATGTGTGTCTGTGGTTGCTGAGCGCAAACGGAGCCAAGACGCCGCAGGGAAGCGTCGCTGTTCCTTTCTGTCCACTCTTCTCTTTCCCCACCGCCCATCTCTGACTTAAAGCGGAGTGCCCATAGACCCTGCCCAGCAGGATGGTTTCTGGGTGGGGAGCTAAAGCCCAGAGCTCGGGTATCACTCACCCTGTTCTCGCTTCCACCCTTGGCTCACGGTCCCCTCTTAGGCAAGTCACTCCACCTAGGTGAGCTGGCCCAGCGCATCTCTCCCCTCCCAGGGAGTTCTCAAGGGCATTTACACTCTCCTCACAAGCTGTCTGTGTCATGGGAACTTCACAGGACAGCTCAAAGGTCCTGGAGCACAAGTCCAGCCACTTCATGCCTGGGTGGGCTGGCCATTACGTGGACAGAAACTATGTCAGATTCCTCCTCAACGCCTGGCAGATCGATGCTGGCTCCCACTTGCCCAGGTATTTCAACAAGTGGTTGCACGCACAGGGAGCTCCCATTGGAGGGAGAATGGACCATAAAACGATCATGCGGATAGGATAGGATGACTTGGGAGGCTTGTTTTTGAAACTGGCCTGTCCCACTGCTGACCAGGGGTAGTCATTGCCGCCTTATCACAGAGGCTAGATCGGTGCTGACAGGAGGGCACAACCTCACTTTGTTATCCACGTGCCGCTGTTACCTGGGAAACAAGTTCTTTGCAGCAATGAGTGGACAGAACCCACCTCCGCCATCGTATTTGCTGGAGCGGGGAGTCCCTCCGCCCCATCCCACTGGCTGGCACCTGAATTGAGTACCTGGCGTTTTCCTGGGCACAAACGGAGGCGTCCTGATTCCTTTATCCTCTCTCTTCATGGGTCGGATCAGTGTTTCGAGGTTTCTGCTTTCTGGTAATTGTGCTAAACACCCCATGTTACCCTTTGTAAGGGGAAAGCCCTCACTAGGAAGCATTTGAGAAAATGCTACTTCCCCTCAGCAGCAATCCTAGATGATGGTTAACTTGAAATGGCATTTCCTGGTATTTTCTAATACTTACCACGTCAAATCTATGGAAGGAATAAGAGACTTCATTGAGTAATTGTGCTGGGAAAAAATATTATGATGCAATCCCTTTTGCATGGTTAAAGGGGAATTTGTGGGTAAACCTCAGTGAATTCATCAATATGTATAATGCTGTTGTTAAAGAGACAGGCATGCTAAGCTGCAAACAACCCATATGAAATGAACTTTTAAAATGTAATAGATCCCAGTCACCTGGGATGTTACCTTCCTTTATGAATTCATTTAAGGGGGCTTGTCCTAAAAGCTTTAATGCAGCAAGGCTTGCTCATTTCCCAGAGGAGGTTATTCAAAAGGGACATAGAAAAGCAAGAGAATTTGAGAAGACGACTCATTCACTAAGATTATTTCGGGAAGTTTGCCTGGCTAATGAAAGGTCGACTATAGATGCTGAAGCTGTCCATAAGTTGCTGACTTTGATTGAGGAATTATAGACTACAGCAGAAGCTTTGAGTTGGCTTTTTTGACAAAGGTGATAAATTCAGACAATATTATGATCTAATAAATTTTATTTTTTAAAAAATGTATCCTAATGGCACGTTGGGGATGCTGTCTCTTGGGCCATTAAGAAAGAAACGGCAGCTCTCTTTCCAGGCCTGTGTGAAGACAAGGGCCATAATTATTTAGTTTGCCAAAGATCCTTTTAAGGTGTCAGTCTCAAAGAAGTCATTTCCAAGCAACACAGTAACTTAGATACTTAGGATTCATTGGAATGCCTGATGGATTCGATGAGAGTTTCCTTCAGTTTTAAGCGCAACGATTCTACCCCAAAGTGGGGTATGACCCGGCGAGAAGGAGAGGGAGGAGGTATTTCTGCAATTTACACACCCCCTGGAGGGTCCCCGGTGTGTTGGGCGATGTCACTAGGGAACGTGTTGCTGAGGACGGAACAGAGTCAGGGTCCACTCTTTTAAATGGGAAAAGCACGCTCCAATGCCTCCAGTGGCCAGGCCGGTGACCTCCACTGATGAAACTGCCATTTCCGGCCACTGTTCGGTTTCCTACTCTGCTGGGGTCATGGATTCAGAGAAATGTTTCTGTTCGACAGGAGAAGTGGCGTGGACCAGTGCGATGATAAGTAGGAAGTGGCCCGGCTTGCAGAGCAGTGTAGGCAAAGGGAGTCCAGGAGACTACTGGGACCTGAAAATTACCAGCTCCAGCCGATCATTTCCAGGTGTCAACAGGGCCCGATCTTCTAGGTAAAAGGGTCGTTCGACCGCCAAAGGGGTCGCGACCCACAGGTTGAGAACCGCTGCTCTAGAGTTTTATGTGTTCATACAACTAACAGAACAAAACACTGCCAGGCAACGGTTCGCCTGCAGACCCAGTGTAACCCTTGGGGCTTGAGGGTCTGAGATAAAGCAGAGATGCACTGATTAGCTCGTGCATCCATGGGGTCACACTGGGTCTCCTACTGAGTCTCATAGGTCACCTTATTCCACTGTTGACAGTTCCATGTCAAAGCTTAACTAACATGAAATCAGCTACTCAACACCACGTTCACTGGCCACAGAACAAACGGCCGTGGGGAAATCCCTCCTCTCTATCCTCTAGGGTTCGCCGCCTTGTGTCCTCGCTGGTCTTTTCGGCTCCTGACAGGAACCCAAGAATAAGGACTCAGAGGTCACCCTTTCATGGAAAGTACTTCCCAATAGGAAAGGGCTTGACAGGCTTAGTGCTCGTAAGGTCCAACGTGCCAGGGTCTGTGCAGGCAGAGATTGCGATGCATGAGGCCCTTGCATCTCTGGGATCAGGTGTTTCGTTGGAAAAGATGCTGCACATTTGATTGTACTTTTACGTCGCATTTCGACTCTGGGGAATCTGGGTTGGGTTTTTGTCCTTGAAACCTCATGTTTGAGTTGTGGCCCTAAAGCCCCTGCAAGTCGTGTTCTCTTCCTCCTGAAGTTGAGAGTCCAGTCCTTCCCAACATCGTTGGTGTGTGTTAGCGTTCCAGAAGCTGCTGGATTTGTACTCAAGTACCTTTTTTATTTAATTTATTTTTTTAACAAGAAGAGTATGTCTGTGCCAATACACCACAGTAAAACAGGAGTTTGGCACGGGTTTCTGTTGATTTGGTTGGGATGGACAGCCAAACTAGATATTTCATGCCAGAAATATGAGTTGGTTTGGCTGGCTACGTCTGATTGAATTCACTAGATAATAATTAAATTCCTTTTCAGGTTGTGCTATGTAGACGGAACTATCGCCTCCTCTTTACTCCCGAATCTTTTCGGAAAACGAGTGCTCTCTTCCGTTCCCATTCTAAGTGTCCATTCCTCCTCAGTCACTTACCTAAAAGGAAATCTTTCGTGTCACCGGTTTCCTGGGAGCGGGGATCATCCCTTTTGACAAGCAATCACTGTGGAGTTGGGCAAATTGTCAGTAAAAGGTTGCTGGGGGGCTGTCCACAGCACCAGTAAAAGCAGCAGCGATGTCTGGGGCCTGTGGAAGGCACGCCGGAGGTAGGGTTATGAAAGGCAGGAAGTTGACCTTTGAACATTCACTCATTCATTAACAGCTACTTTCTGAGCTCTTACTACATCGGGCACTGAGCTAGGCACAGAGGGCACATGAGTACAAAGGGCTAGGACCCAGCATGATGTGTGCTGGGCGGGGAGGGAGGGTTTCCCTGCCCCGCTTAAATCACACAATTTATGTAAATTCCAGTTTCAACTATCAGAGAGGGAGGGAGGCTGGGCCTCTGTACCCCCTTCAAGAAAGAGACAATTTGATTGATTTGAAGAAATTGATCTCAAATCTGATTTTTCGAGTCATGGCAATCTCCATCATTGACTGAAAATGTTCTTTAAATCAGCATACTTTTCTTCTAATGCCTCAAATCATTGTGGAAGAGGGACACTCCTGTTGCTCGTCTGATGGAGGAGATAATAGATCACACGTAGTTCTCAACCTTCTGGCCCTTTAAATACAGTTTCTCATGTTGTGACCCAACCATAAAATTATTTTCGTTGCTACTTCATAACTGTAATGTTGCTACTGTTATGAATCGTAATGTAAACATCTGATATGCAGGATGGTCTTAGGCGACCCCTGTGAAAGGGTCGTTCGACCGCCAAAGGGGTCGCGACCCACAGGTTGAGAACCGCTGGATTACAGTGTAACAGGGGTGTAGATGATGCTGTTAGCTGCCAAAGACTCTCAGGGCCCGAGACCTGGGGGCAAAATTGCGAATGTGAATGAGGAGTGAAATACACAGGAGCACCAAATTAAGACGTTGTTTTACCTGTAACCCAAAGGAGCGAATGAGAATTAAGAGTGACTTTCTCACTGTGTGGTTTTAAATTAAGGAGGGGTTTCTGCACCAACCAGAATCAATAAATGCCGTTGTATTCACTCCATTTTGGGAAACTGATTCAGCCCAGTGATCCCTTCCAAGTCACTGTCCGGCTTCTGCCTAAGCATTTCCAAGGACAAGAGCTCTTTAGAACCCATCTGTCCTTGGGAAACTCCAACAGTTCTTTTTCGCATCCAAAAGGAAATAAGCACATTAAAAAAAAAAAATCAAACAAAACGGAACACCTGCCTGCCTGTAATCCCTCCTCCAGTGACAGGCTCTGGGATGGGCACATACTCCTTAGCAGCTTCCCTCCGAGTCTGTAACGTGGGGCTTCACCGTGATGGAAGCCAGCGAGCCGCAATCGCCAGCCCAGGGCTCTCTTCCCTGAGAAAATAAAACTAGAGGCAATAAAGGCACCTCAAAGGATGGCCCT